CGGAGCCGCGCCGTGCATCGTCTTCTCGGTCGGTTTCCTCACCTACAGCGGCTGGTCGACGATGGAAAACGCGGCGCTGTTCTCTTTGCTCAACTCCAACGGATACACGTACATTCAGGTAAGACATCAGAGGCGAATTTTCGCATCATTCCGTTCCCTCGACGACGAAACCGCCTTCGGGAACAGAAAAATCCCGGACATCTTAGCAAAACATTGCAAAACTTCCTGATCATAAAGAAAAACTCATTGCTCTGGACAATGTTAATAGAAGTCATGGTTTCGAAAACTTTTGTTTCGAAAGTCTCGTCGCAGTTGGCGCTTATTTGCTTGTTGACTCTCCATCGCCCCTCTCACGCTTTCATCGGCGCGTGAAGTCTAAGCTGTTTCGCAAACTCGGAGAAGGACAAGCTTCTAAGCGTTTACACGCCTGCTTACTGACTTTGCGTCCAACACGAATATCTTCATGATTAGCCTTGGATTGACGTATGCTGATGAACAAGCTACGTTTCAGTCTTTGGCAGGTTTCACTTTTATGAGGCTTTCATGATTGAGTTCTTGCTGAACACTCGCCATCATGTATGAAGGCGATGTCTTACATACCAATACATCTTACCACCCACTGTATTTTCTTTGACGGCAAAAATCAGTCTATCTGATCCGGAGCAGAAGTAACTACCTTCTGCTGGACAGAACTGTCTTAGCCTTGACCTAAAAGGTTCATTCTACCCAGCATTAATTTTCGCTACCAGCGTTTTTAATCTACGTAGCGGTTCTGTGTGCTAGGCACTTTCTGTCCTTCCATCCATGATTTTCAGCGAGGATAAATTAAGTGATCATAGTCTCCTGATTTAGGTCCCCCACTATAGAATTGCGCTTCACAGAAAAGAAGGCATCTCTGAGAGATTCTTTGTTATCGTGATCGATGTCTTCTTCTGTTCAGAGGGTAGGCAGGTAGTATAATGTGTCATCCTGTGCTTCATATTGTGACCTCTCATAATTCTTATGATGCAAATGGCGCTCAGTTGTGCGCACTATGCGAGGTTGCCTGTTTAGCATCGTCTTGGCCTTACTTTTGGTCTCTACTCAAGGTAAAGCCTTGTAACATAATTTCTCCACACATTCTTCGTTCCTTCTTTAAGCCTGCCTGGAACGTGGTTTAAAGGCGAACACTAAGTTTCAAATTGCTTGTAGGCCGTCCAATCACTGATTTTCAGATGCGCGCAATATCTATAACCTTCACCTGTCATATTGCGTCTCAAACGTATCGATCAATTGTCGTTGTCTAACGATGGGAGCCGCAATGAATCATATGTTAGATTTAACAAGTGTCACTTTCATAACTTACTTTTGTGCTAGCCAAAATTATCATTTATCTGCAGGATGAAAACAACATTTCATATGTTTTTTTTCTGAGGCCAAGAAAAATGATGGCCGTCAATCATTTTTTATCGGATTACTGGCTTATCGCATGGTGATACTCAGGTTTCAATTAAACACCCTGGTGGTATTTTTGATACTTCTCATTTTATTCCATTCCTGGTTTGGCCGTTTTTTGTTGAAAATTTGTTTTCAAAATCACAGTTTAAATGAGAAGGAAGCAGGATACCGCAATAACTATTATAGCGGCCACCTAGATATACATATTTCCTTAAAAATAAGGTATTGCTGGCTAATGGTTTAGAAACGGAAATGACACTGTGTCTTAAGCTCCGTGAAGGAAGTATTGCGTATTCTGTTCCTGCATTGGCGGTCGTAATAAAAATTTGACAAAGCGGAAACGGTTTTATTATGCAGAACGCAATATGAGAGTCTGTCTGGACACTGATCGATACCGACGTTTCCGGCCTTCGGGCCCCACATTATCAGCTGCTGCAGAGAACAACGTCGTTAAACACAACATACCTACTATCTTACCTTGAAATATTCGAGGTTCGGTATAGGTTTCCGATCTGATTGAAACCATCCTATCGCGTCCCGTGTAAAACCGTTTCTGGTGTTTTTCATGGAAAGACGATGCAGAAGACTACTTCCATTGTGAAGTATGACAAAAATTAAATTGTGACGGTTACAAACTTTTCAGTTTCCGCTTTCGTGTTTTCAGCGGCCTGAAAATTTGTTCGTACGTGTCAGCTGAATATCGGTCAATATTTCGAGTGGAATACGTAGAACTTCTTTGGGTGTGGCATGCTGTTAACGACGAATTAAAGATTTACTTAATTTCCGTGCGGCCTAGATCACAAAAAGAACTGCAAATCTCTGTTCGAATGAGTGATCACAAGATGTTACGGTTCATGTGGGGTTGTATAGGTGAATTCATCGAACTTTGACCATATAAGCTCCAGAGGATACAGTCTTTTATTGATTCCATGATAAAAAAAATGTCAGGAATGGCCTTGGATCACTTGTACCGGCCGTTAATCAGCGATGAATCACGCTAGCCGCATCAAGCCTCCATTTCTCACGGTTTCGATCCTTCTCCCACCAAGCTCGGTCTTCCTGGCTCAAAACATAGCCTACCAACGTAATGCAGCGGGACTAAACGGCTTAGTCAGCCGGCTATGGTACCAACCGACTTCATTGACGACTATCTCCATTTAGTGAGCTCAGGGTAACTGTAGCTTTTTCGTTCTATTTTCGAGAAAAGGTCTTTCACTCACTCCCTTCTGCTTTCTCATCACCTTATTGAGGATGTGGCCGTGTCCTCAAATTCGGGAAATTCCCCTTTCCATGGTTCTCTTCAGCAATGCAACATCGTCAACAGACGGTTGAATTGAAGTGAGGGTCGGTTTCTTTCCTGACGTTGCTGAGGATGGTGTCTTTGATGGAATGAAATGCGCGCCAACCGGCAGATATTCTTTGTTTTTTTATTATAGAAGTTGTTGACCTCTTGACATAGGTAAATGTGTTTATCAACATCAATTTTTTTACCATTGTATACCATCCAGGCCATTGGCAGCGTATTTGATCGCCGTATATTCGTCGTTGACCCCGTACTTTTTTTCGTGCTCTTGAAGCCAGTCTTGTAACCGTTTGGCGTTTTCCACAAATAACGCCACGTCATCAACGAGCCTCAGCTGGCTGTTGGCCATTGTTGTCAATCAACTCATTTCAATTCATCCCCGGAGCATTATTTTCAAGTTAGCGGTGAAGAGCGGGACAGAAGGTATCTCCATG